CCCCTCCCCCAGCTCGCACGTCGGGCCCCGGCCCCACTGCCCGGCCAGAGCGAGACGTGCTTCGGGCCTCATCCGCCCCCAACCTCTTCGCCGCAAGGACCTCGCTCGCCCGAGAAGTCGCTCCAGCCTCCTCTGCTAGCAGCTTCCGGCGGATACAAGAGCCTGCTGGGCAGCTGGGGGGGCTCGAAGCCGTGACTACAAAGGTTTCAAACACAGGCTGCAAAAGGACTGATTCCCCCGGTATAAAGCTGACTGGTAGGGCGCTATGTTGCCCTTTCCACTCTCCTGGCCTTGTGATGCACCCACGCAGGGAGCAGGCAGGCTGACATTTCACTTCTGCAGCACCCAGAGAGAAAGGCAGCCCCGCTGCAGTGCCCATTCTCCATCCCTCCCCACCATCCTGTAGGAGAGACAGCAGAGCAAAAGCGATCAGATAGAAGAGCAGCAAATCAGTGTTCGTTCCCCCTCCTGTCCCGGGGGATCCGGCAGCTATGTCAGCCGAGCAGATGCTCTGTGATGTTGCACCGAAACGGTGGTTCCCTGCTCCCACCATAACCCCATGGGTCTGTCTACACTCGACATAATGCCCCATAGAGGTGATGTAATCTTTTTATGTAATCTTTTTTATGGTATATCTAGCTTTTGCAAACTATATCTAACTGAATACTTAAGGCAACTTACTGATGCTGGGAGGGGTGTGGCATGTGTGTGTTAAGAGATGCTTGCAGAGCACAGCGTGTGGGATGCGGAGGATTCCTGGAATGCCTCCCTAACACCAGCAGGATAGTGTCTCCCTGACACTTGTAAGATAGCAAGAAGTTCAGAAAAAGGTCTCATTATAATGCTAAAAATTACACCCCTGGGCAGGGCAAAAGTATGTTAATGAAACATATATGTATGTAAATGAAATACATGGCTAAAACATAGGTATAGAGACATGCTCAGTAGAGAACGTCTTATGTCAGTGGCTTGTAACCAATCACTGAGCGATACACTTGCAAACATATGTATAAAAGGTACCCAAAGGTAGAAACCGGTGGTGCTTGCTTTGCAAACGATTGCCAAGCACCCCTCTCTGCGCAGACTGGAAACAATAAAGATTAAGTTGGATCCTCCACCCCTGTGTGTTCATTGGCAATAGCACACCGGGCACGAACTCACACTGTCCGTTGGGGACAACAGAGGCTCCCATGCTTGCCCGGCCCACTCACCTGGCATGTAGACACCCAGGGAACAAGCCCTTCCTCTGGCTCCACTTTACAGATTTAGACATGGGTCTCCCACTCCCTACTTTGACTGATTCAGAGCATGGACTTATTCTGTCTTTTGTTGGAGCTATTGAGTTTGTTAACAATCACATATTCATTGGGTAAGAATCAAAGATCCAAGATCAGGTTCTGTCTGATGTTCTTAAGTTCAGTAAGGGCAAACCTCTTTTTGGCAGGTGTGCCACAAGTTAGCCCTGTACCCTCTGTGAGTGCCACTCGAGTCCCCTCCCCCTGCTTGATCTGCTGCTCTGCTGTTTGCTCCCTGCCCTGTCTGCTACTGTGCTGCCTGCCCCAACTCCAGTCTGCTGCCTATTACTCATCAAGGTTGTCTGTGCCACTTGTGGGGCACATGCTGTAGGTTGGCCACTCCTGCTTTAGTTAAATCCATAGGTAAGTGCTCCAAATGCAGGGATCACTGCATAAGCCTTTGATGGCCTGTGTTGTCAGATCTCATAACCATGACTGTGGCTTTCTGGCCCTAATGCATTAATCCACTGCAGCAACACACACACACACCAGTCAAATGCAAGAAAACATTTTCTTTTAAGAAAAAAATTACATACAACACTGCTAGTTTCACACAGACATTTTCATCAAGAGTCATTTGTGTCAAATGCTCTTCAACTTTCTTCTCCATTTGCATCTGATCTCCATCTGCCCTCTCCCGAGGAATTAGAGCCACGTACTACTTGAGCCTCCAAAATCAAGGGAGCTCAGTTGCCAGAAAAGAACATACATCCTAAAATGACCATAGTACTGCTGCTGTTCCAGTAACCAAAGAGCATCTTATTGAGCAGTGGCTTGATGCTTATAAAGAAAAGTTTGTCTGAGGTGAAGTCAAAATGAGAAGAGAGATTGTAGTTTGCTTTCCCCTCTATGTAGTTTGTTCCTTCGTAGTTAACACTGATTTTGCAATGCATATCTCTCTTCCCAACCACTGGCATCCAGGTCATGATTTCTGAGCGAGTAAAGTTGTTAATTTGATCTTTCCATCCATTGAGGCTGTGAGGCAAGTCCCACAATCCATGGCTGTGCTCCAGTCCACGGTGACCACTGGGGCTCTGTGACCTCCCAGGGAGAGGCAGCTCTCCAGGATCTTCTCATCGCTGTTCAACTGCAAGAGGTGGAAGACAAAAAAGACATTAATAAAGCAGGTTTCCAGAGCAGCAACAGCCTGTCTTCAAGAGAATCTAAAGCCTGGGAGTCATAATCAGCACATACACTTCAAATATACATTAAAGATAAATTGGGATTTTGAGCAACACACACACGGCAAGAAAAATGAACCATTTCTCTCCCTTGCTGCACTTTAAAATGGCCATGCCCTAAAAAGGAACGATTCATGCTTGAACTAGCAAAGGATTGTAGAAATCTCAAAGTAAAAAACACCACCAGCCAGCTAAATATAACTTAAATTGCAAGCCTGGCACTAAGCTACCACTAGCCAGTATAAATCTGTATCCTGTCCAACACACACCATACCCTTCCTAATAAGGAAAATTGCTTTAAAAAAAAAAAAAATCAGCTATTTTAACAAAGACTATCTATACACAGAAGGCTTAGGGTTCAGTTACTTGTTTTGGGGTCTTTACTGGCTCAACCCCTGGTAGATTTTTATTTAAAAAAAAGCAGCTAAGGCTGCAGTTTTCTATAAGGAAGCTTGTTTTGACCTGTTCGAATCATCCCAGTCACTTTTCAAACTGTTACCTTGTAGATGACACCCCCAGTGGAAGAACAGGTCAACATGTAGTTTCCCTCAGAGTCAAAGGCAAAAAGTCTCCCACGTGGGACTTGGACTTGTTTGTATCCGCTGTACCCTGACAGCACAAAAGGGCCCGCAGCATCACTGGGAAGAGCATATTCAGACACTTTGGAGCCACTTTTGTGAATATTCCACTGAATAAACTAGAAAAGCAAAACAGAAAGGATAAAAGCCTCTTGTTAAAAAATTCTTTACAGGGGTATAAAGAAGCTCAGCATTATTCATAGATTCTTATAGGCCAGAAGGAAAACAGCATCCTCTAATCTGCTGCATCACACAAGCTAAAGAATGTTAGCAAGGAATTCCTGTATCAAGCCTGTAACTTTTGGTCAATCTAGAGAAGACCTTTTAGAAAAATGTCTTAACATTGCTTCATACTGGGGTTCCATGCTAGCGTAGTCTGTATATATGATAATCTGTTCTGGGATTTAAAAAAAAAGACTTTTCCAGCATCATAGAGCTGCTTAGTATTAGACAGCATAGGCAAGCATCTTCTACCCTGACAGCACAAGCTGTGCACTGGTTGCACATGGGTTTCTAGATGAACTTTAAGGTGTTGATTTGATCCACTAAAAGGCAAGTGGTGAGCACTCTATCAAACCTGTTCTCACTTAGGGAAGTATACTGGTCCAGGAATAGCAGAATGCCCAGTGGATGATCCCCTCCACTCCAGCTCTGTAGGGAGGACTGGCACACAGCCAGGAAACAATGTCGCTGATGAGCAGTTCGTTGAGCTGAGAACAGGACTATAAGTGGGCTGTCTTGCCTGCTGGCTTCTGCAGACAGGTATTGCTCATTGAGGAGATCTTCAGTCACTCCTCCCAACTACAAGTCTTTAAGTACCAAGCAAGCAAAACAAAACCCTTCTGCTCTGTCCCAGGCACTGAGGGGGAGCCCTTGGGCTGTGGTCCCAGCATAGCAGCCTGGCCCCTCTGTGCAGAAAGCTGTTCAGCTTGCAACCTGCTTTCTTTCTCCTTGCAACTGTTCCCTCACAGGTTGCTTACTTTCAGCTCTCTCCTCTGGGGGTTGAAGCTCCCAGTGGGACACTCCCCTCTTAGCCCAAAGGCTCACAGCTGAATATCCTTACTAGGGTTGGCTACCCCCTTTTTAAGGGGACAGACCACCCTGTTACAAGGATATTACTCATGCTCAAATCCAGGGTCCCAACATCTTCTCACTGTCATAGACAGCCTACCTTTCCATCTTCTCCTATGCTGTAAACTGTGTTTTCATCATAGCTGAACTCAACAGAGTGAACCTCTCCATCATGTGCCTTCCAGCTCATAGCACACTCATGCTGCTGCATATCTGAAGGAAGAGTGATCATTGAATGTTCATCATGCACAGAGGTGGAGAACATAGAAGTGGCTCTTTCACTGCCAGGGTCAATGCCAGCCCTCACCAACCAGTGAAGCATTACTCCAGTACTTACCCATTCTCTGCCCATACCAGTTTCTTACCCAACCATCCCACCCCATCTTCCTAAACAGATATTTTCCTTCGTTACCCACAAAGACATAGTATTCAAAGCAATATTCCCTCTAGATTTATAGGACTGCATGCTCAGGGCATCACAGGAGGGAAGATAGGGCACTGACAGCAATACAAAGCAGCTGCTCTGGAGCAATTCTCTTTAAAACAGCCTGACTGCTCCTGGGCAGCGTTTAGGAGAACACAAGTTTTTTTGGCAAATCATCTGTGGGATGACACGAGGTTCAAGTACAGAACACAAGAGCCCTAACATGCCTTCTTTCAACTGATGCAATTTACTATAACAGATGATACAATTTGCAGAGTGGAGGAAAAAGTACAATATGCAGAAAAATACAGAAAGCTAGAAAAATCATGCCCTATGGTGGGAGGAGGGGTAATTGAGGAAGCTGAGAAGATGGCAGCCTATCCTAAGACTGGCTCAGATGGTAGTCTACACAAATTCATCACTAGGTCAAACCTAGAGACTATCAAGTGCAATTTTTCTTTCCTTTTTATACTCCAAAACTCATTTAAAAGGGAAGATGGTCACATGTGTCACCTGCCTGAAGGTCTCTGGCTCCTAGTGGGGTTCAACAAGGGACCTTGCATCAGATACTGCCAAAAAGAGGATACAAATTTCAGAAAACCTGGGGCTTGTTCTTTATAAAGTCACTTCAATCTTCCTACATGCTCACAGACAGGATACTGTGCAACACTTGAGGTTTCCACTTAGATGTGGTACAGACTGAATGAGCTGGAAACAGATGACACATCTTTGAACTAGCTGGTCACCAACTGAAGTTTTGCTGCAGAGCTCAAGCCCACACCAATGATATTCCAATACTGTACTAGTGCTTACTGCACTACTAGAAATGCCAGACTTCAGAGGAGAGATTAAACAGAGCTCTCTCCTGCCCTTAGGTGGTAAAAGGGAAAGATAAAGACCTTAAGGCAGTTTGAGGGACACCTAACACCTGCCACTGCAAATTGGTTCTAGTTTATTGTGCCTTCTGGGAGCTACTGCTAAGGGGAAAAAAGCAGTCAGATTGCTGTCCAAGAACCTGCTTACCAAAGAGACGAATTATTCCATCTGCTGCCCCAGTGACCAGCAGGTTGCCATTGTGGTTAAAGGCTGTGCAGTTTATGGCAATGGGCTCTGGATCAAGGGAAAACTGGAGCTGAAAGGCAAAGTCACTATTACTGAACTGATCTCTGCACTTCTGTCCCTACAAACCTCTCATGGAGCAAATATGCAAAGGACCTAGTACCACAGGGGTTCATTTGTTTAGCCACCTAGCAACTCCCACCATAACTAAACCCACTCTCTACCCAGACCCCATGATGCCCTTTACTATATGCCAGTCCATCCCACTGCATTTCATCAAGACATTTTGGCCAAGTTAATATCCTTGGTGGTAGCCCTGAGGATGAGGACTGCCAAATATCACAGTGAATTTGCCTCCTTTGAGCATGGTGTAGAACTCTCTCCTCCTCAGGCAACTGAGAGATGGGATAGGCAATGTCCACAACTTCCTTTTTGAATGTGGTGACCCTTCTTACTGGGGCTCTGGAGAAGAAAAAGAGCTATGCTCCTACCCCTGGAAGCATCCCGCACACAAAACTGTATATACAAACCTCTGGATATTACAGCAACACATGCTTTAAAAATCAAATGAACATATTGCCATACACCAATTATTTGGCACAGCACTACGATCAGGCCAAATGTTTCAACCAAAAACCAAAGCTACATTTTGCTGAGGCAGCTCAGCATCAATGCTACCTAGAGAGCCACAGACCAGTCTTCAGTGCATGCCCCTCTCACTTCATATTAGTTGCATGAGAAGTTGCAGAAGCAACAGTATCAAGATTCATTAATTCTATTAATGCTTTTATTTTTACAAAGTTTGTATAGTTTCCTCTTAAAAAAGAAACCTGCTTAAAATGGAAGCAGAATTTAATACAAAATATGCTAAATTTTAAAGTAGGTTATAACTTTTTAAAACATCTAAATAAAAGATAGATAAGCTAAAAAATCCATAAGCCTTCTATTTAAAAAAAACTTGAGTTCCAGGCTCCTCCTTTTTATATAGAGATGGAATTAGGGAGAGAGGAAAACAAAAGTACATAAGCTTTTAAGCTCAAGCTTTATAAATAAAGGAACAATATGTTATGTCCTGTATTGCTAGTTGCTTGACACAACGCCATAGAAAAATTACCTCTCCCCGAATGACTCGTTAAACAGGTGCGAGTTTTCTGGAAAAGGAGTATTAAGAGGGGAGCTACAACAAGGTGAGGAGAGAAAGACGCATCTGTTGTCAGTGGGTAGGTTCAAGGAGGAAAGAAATAAGACAATACCTGCTGCTTCATTGTCTTGGTGTCCCATAGAAGCAGCTTCCCTGGGACTTGGTTCACGCCCTTCCCTCCAACAGCAGGGCCTGCAAAGTCCAGCTGTGGGATGAGGCTCGGAGCTGCAGCAGAGCAGACAAAAGACGCACCACTTGGGCTGCACGCAAGCGAGAGAATCCTGAAACACAGTCCCCAGGCACAGTCAGCTTCACCTCCTCTCAGACAAGAAACCTAGAGAACGGTTCTGCACATCACTTC